TTCGGTTAGGTAAACTAATACCTAGGATGGTAGTGTCTCATTTGTTTTTATTTTTAACCTCAAACGTGTCTAACATTTGAAACATCGATATTTTAGCCTTTACCCAGAGTGGTTGGAGATATTATTTTTATTATTATTCTAGGTATTGCATGTTTTATAGAAATAAGGAATTTCTTTTATATATTAGTTAACGTTTTATGTGGTATAACTAATTTGATTTAGGTATATTGTATTTGTGTATAAATTCATAAATGTATAATATTTTATTCTAGTATGATATTTTACGTACTTGACCTACATTTATATCCTGCGTCGTTTTGGATATATTTAACACGCTTATCGTTACTTTCCCGTTTTTACCTTTATTATAAATATTTGCAAGATATACATCTGGTAATAATTCTTGTTTATTAATTAATATATTTTATTATTCATTGCCTTATCTGCTATATCAATTTGTACTACTGTTTCTGAACGTGGTTGCAATGTAAAATTAATATCTCCCTTTAAGGCATTAATTTTGATAATGTTCAGATCCGCGCCCGTGTCAACTAACAATTTAATTTGATCATTATTGAAACTTGGCGATTTTAACGTAATATGATTATCTACTAATCGAGTTGTGATGTGGAAAATTCGTTTTGTGGGTCTTTCCAACTGTTTGGAAACAGTTCGTAATTTCATGTCCTACCTTATTACAAAAACTGCAATGTACATTTTGTGCGCTACTATTGCCTGCACGATTATAACTATTGTCAATATTACGCGCCGTTGCATTGCCGCGATTACTATTATATGCATTTTGCTGTGTATTCGGCCTACCTACTGTCTGCCGGCCATCCCTTGCAAAATGATTAAATTTCCCGCACGTGTTTCATCCGGTTCTAATTATTTCGTTGAAAATTATTATCGTTAAAATTGCGTCCAGAACCATGTCCGCCGCGAAAACTTCCGTTGCGATTATTCGCGCCTGCACTATAACCGCCCCGATTATTATTGCTATATCTATTGTTATACCCATTAAAATTATTATTTCTACTATTTTGATTTGCGTATCCGTTTCCTCCGCGATTAAACATATTATTTCTATTACTATCATTATGTCGTTTTTCTTCGTTACTACTATTAATTTGTTTTTCATTACTATTTTGTTTTTGTACATTTCCCTGCAACTTTTCCATTTCTAATTTAGAATTAAATTCAAGATCTCATCTACCGCTAGTTTAAAGCATTGTTCTAAAGTTTCTGGATTTCTACTCTTTAGTACTGTATTTAGATGATATGGTAATCCTGTCATAAATATAATCATAGCCTGCTTTTTTGTCTGGTTTTTAACTACAAGTGCTTCGGTCTTGGTTAATCCCATTGTACTAGATGCGCAGAGCTTATAATATAACTCTTCGATTCTACTAGCGAATGTTGCTACACTTTCTCCTTCGGTCATACGTGCCGTGTTTAAAGCTACTGCTAGGGCCCTCTCCGATACTTTCTGTTCGAATGCCCCCTCTAATATAGATTTTATTGATCCCCATGTGTCTAAATGTCGATACATTGTTACCTCTAACGCGTTCGCTGTCAATTTCGACGTTATTATTTTTAATAATAATGGTTTATCCGCGTCAGCAATATCTTTAAGCGCGATCTCGCAGATATTTATAAATTCTACTACGTCTTTCTTTCCCGTGCAAACTGGTATCATTGGTATTGCTTTATCAATATCCATTTTATTTTTCGCGCTTTTCCTAACTTCTGTTCCTAATTGCACGTGAACTACGCTTGAGTCTGACCTAGTACCTGAACGACCTACGAATTGTTTACTTATTCGTGGCGTGATACCTATCCGTTCTGTTAAACTAAGTGTTCTTACGAAATTTTTCCTTACAGCTTTTTCGGCGTTAGCTATTTGTCTGCCTGTTTTTTCTATAAATTCTTTCTTTATTGCGTCTTTTAAAATTTCCGCCTTTAATTCTTTCTTATTTTTATATTTTTTAACTTTTACTGAACTGTCCGCAGAACTAGTTTCAATATCTGAACTATCTGATTCTGTATTCATATAATATACCTAATGTTCACTAACATTATTAAAATCTAGTAATTTTCATTTAAATTACTACCAAAAAAAAATAATTATTATTTATTTTGTTAAATGTGTGTATTTATTCCCGTATACACGTATCGTACGTACGTATTTATTCTATTCGTATATTTTATTCATGCACGCCGCGTGTTAATATACTGTGTACCTACTTACGCACGCTCACTACTATACAACGCATGTATTTTACGTAAATTATTACGCCCCTAGGTTCGCCGCGATCTTTTTTACGAATAATGCGTTTGAATATTATTAAACTATTACTGGGTAGCTAAGCCAGCAATCTTATAACAATATACAACTACCTATTTTTTATATAATTCTATTAAATGAATTTATTATTTTTAACGATTTAATTTATCACATAAACATTTATTTCATTTTCTTATTACTATACTTATTCTATTCTAGCCTTACAATTACTTTTATTCAATAAGGTCATCTACTGCCTTTTAATTCAAAATCAATATTTCTTCAATAAATCAACTTATTTTCCTTCAACAATTTTCTATCATTTCAATTCAAAAAATTATTCATATATCATTTCCATATATTCAATTGCTACGCGCGTGCATTAATTTTCAGATCAGCCTATCGCTGTCTATTTATTCTCAATAATTACTATAAAAAATCTCAGATCGGTCCTTTCCGTCTATTTAAAAAAAAAACTTTAGGTCAGTCCCTGCTGTCTATTTCAATGTGTCCGAATTTTATACTAATGAAAACTATACTTTTGTCCATCAAGTAATACTGCTTATTGAAACATATTTGTTATTAAATTGAGTGTACATTATAGTATATGTATATTGTATACAAATATGAAACAATTATTACAAATTTAATGTCATATAATAATTATATTATAATAGTTCGGATAAAGTATTATTACAACAATAAAAATAAAAATTATGATATCGTAATAGTTTTGTAAGAAAAAAACCCAAAATAAATCAAGTGTTATAACTAGAGCCTAACTATAATACTGGAATATTTATTATTCACTTCTATTGATAAATGATCACCGTGATTACGAGATCTAATGATATTATTAATGTATATGTATAAGAATTTTTGTCTCTTTGTGACCCCGTACCGATAACTGTCCACACATACCTGATTTATGTTTAACTGGGTAACTAAGTAATCCAAAAGTCATGCCTGCAGACTGTAAATAAGACCGTGATTGAGTATAACCTGTATTATTGGTACCTAACCAAAACATTTATGATCGTTTGTAATATATTTTTAATGTCACGTAGGTACGATGTACATATTTGATTGGGATTCTATTATTTTAAAATAAAACGTTCTATCGATTGAACATATTTATTCCAAATTAATTGATTTGTTTTAACTCAATTTTAACTATGTGCTTTTTTTTGTGCATTATTATAGGTATTGACCTGTTTATCTAGGGTAGGTACCTATTTCGGTATTTTAGTACGGGGCGTGTGAAATGTGAAAGTTTTCATAAATAACAACATTTTAATGTTTATTAGATAACACTTTTTGATTTAAATATAAATTTTAAAACAAAATGTCCTATTAATGTATCCAACACACTGTTTGGATAAGAGTCACATAGAAGTTTTGTTTCAGGCAATTTTTTAAGTATAGGATTGATAAAATTTTTTCTAAGACTAAAAAATAAAGAAAAATAATTCTTGATTGAACAGATAAAAAAAAACATTTTTGAAATTTTTCGATATAGAACTCTTTGATTCCAAGCCCGCGATATCTTCAAAAACGGTTGAAATAGCGTAGAAACCTTTGTATTTGAAATAACCGTTAACAATAGTAGATACATACGACATAATCATTATATTCGCCACCATAATTAAATACATTATTTTGTTGTTTGTTGCTAGTACTTTTATTTGAATTACGTGGTCTTTACTTATTAGGCTAATCCGTGTAAATAAGAAAATCATAGGATAAAATATGTACCACAATACCACGATCTTACCTACTGCTAATGGTAATTTAGATGGTACCAGAAATAAAAATGTAATATTATAAATTTGGGTTTTATTAATGTAAAAATAGAAAACGATGACTGTGCCTTCAATAATATACATCAAGAGTGTCTATACATCATTACTAGTGATATTCAAAGAAATAATAAATTATTATCGTTCCCGTGTCCATATATTGTTTGAAAAAACCTTGAAGTATGCGAGTTCGGCGCGTTGGTAGCCTCTATCGGGGTACTAGTCAGTGGGGTCGCCGCCTAATGGGTTTTACTCGCAAACAATCGACGGGCTGGCCACATTGGATTCCACCACACTGCCAGCGCATGACAGTTGGTTGGGAAGTGTTTACGGGTCGCGGGAAGTACTATCTCGGTATGTACCTCGCTTAGAAAGCATCCGGCTGGTTACATCTTTGTTCGGACGATTTCACAAAACTCACGCACGCGCACCATGTACGTGTCATACACACACACATCTATACAAAAACCAGCTAGCACGTATAAAATGCAAGTAAACTCGCACACCGACGCACTCACACACAAGTAAATTCGCGCCAATGCCAAAGGGCGCTATGTTGGCGAGCACCGCGACCCGCTGCCCGTACACCGAAACCCCACCAAACCAATGCGCTGGCAGACACCGTTCATATTCATTCGACACTCGTCCGTCGACATTGCCGCCGTAGCTCGTTGTCCGACACGTTCAAATCGTTATACGGTTCCCGTTGTTCACAGCACTGCGTGACCCGTTCGGCGTAGTTTGTTATATAATTATTAACATAAAAATATAATTTAATATTAATAGAGTTGTCGCCATTGCAGTTTTTTTTTTGTTTTTTAAAAATGCCATTACCACGGCGTTATATTATTTTTGTAGAATAACGTAAATTTATCGTCCCTCTCCCTTACCACGTTTCCACGAACAATTCAAAAATGGCTTCTGTGATCAACGTCCCAGCAAACGAAGGTAACGATATTAAATCGATGATTATAACAATATAATGTACCGTAATTTGGTTTGTTGAAATTTTATTTTACGACCGATTTTAATTGTCATTAATATTATTATTTGTTGCTAAGACAATTTTATTATTGAAAGTTATTATCGTTAAAATTTCGTCCATAACCATGTCCGCCGCGAAAACTCGCGTTGCGATTATTCGCGCCTGCACTATAACCGCCGCGATTATTATTGCTATATCTATTGTTATACCCATTAAAATTATTATTTCTACTATTTTGATTTGCGTATCCGTTTCCTCCGCGATTAAACATATTATTTCTATTACTATCATTATGTTGTCTTTCTTCGGTACTACCATTCATTTGTTTTTCATTACTATTTTGTTTTTGTACATTTCCCCGTAACTTTTCCATTTCTAATTAAGAATTTAATTCAAGATCTCATCTACCGCTAGTTTAAAGCATTGTTTTAAAGTTTCATGATTTCTACTCTTTAGTACTGTATATAGATTATGTGGTAATCCTGTCATAAATATAATTATAGCCTGCTTTTTTGTCTGGTTTTTAACTACAAGTGCTTCGGTCTTGGTTAATCCTATTGTACTAGCCGCGCAGAGTTTATAATATAACTCTTCGATTCTATTAGCGAATTTTGCTACACTTTCTCCTTCGGTCATACGTGCCGTGTTCGTGTATTGTTTAAAAAAACCTTGAAGTATGCGAGTTTGGATCGTTGGTAGCCTCTATCGGGGTACTAGTCAGTGGGGTCGCCGCCTAATGGGTTTTACTCGCAAACAATAGACGGGCTGGCCACATTGGATTCCACCACACTGCCAGCGCTTGACAGTTGGTTGGAAATTGTTTACGGGTCGCGGGAAGTACTATTTCGGTACGTACCTCGATTAGAAACTATCCGGCTGGTTACATCTTTGTTCGGACGATTTCACAAAGATCACGCACGCGCACCATGTACGTGCCACACACACACACACTCGTCCGTCGACATTGCTGCCGTAGCTGGTTGTCCAACACGTTCCCATCGTTTTACGGTTCCCGTTGTTCACAACACTGCGTGACCCGTTCGTTGTACAATTATTAACATAATATTATAATTTAATATTTATACAGTTGTCGCCATTGCTGTTTTTTTTTTTGCTTTTTACAACTGCCATTACCACGGCGTTATATTATTTTTTCGAATAACGTAAATTTATCGTCCCTCTCACTTACCACGACTCGACGAACAATTCAAAAATAGCTTCTGTGATCAACGTCCCAACAAACGAATATCGTTATATTAAATCGATGATTATAACAATATAATGTAACGTAATTTGGTTTTAATTTTTTTATTCTGTTTGACAAGATTGTAGGTTATACCGTCCTCGGTGATCTCGGTTAATATTGATTATTATAGGTTATGTTCGGTTAGGTAAACTAATACCTAGGATGGTAGTGTCTCATTTGTTTTTTTTTTTAACCTCAAACGTGTCTAACATTTGAAACATCGATATTTTAGCCTTTACCCAGAGCGGTTGGAGATATTATTTTTATTATTATTCTAGGTATTGCATGTTTTATAGAAATAAGGAATTTCTTTGATATATTAGTTAACGTTTTAGGTGGTATAACTAATTTGATTTACGTATATTGTATTTTTGTATAGATTCATAAATGTATATTATTATACCTATGATCAATTTAATTTATAAAACCAAATCAAAATTTTTAATACATAAAAAAAAAACGATTCAATTGTTTATACATAGTTTATAACGTTTTTTTTAAATCGTTAAATCCACTTTTTATATTAAGCGCTATTTTTGTGAAGACCAAAAGTAATTAGTATAATTGTTATATCATATGAATTTCCTGACATTCCAAAGACCGTGATTGAGTATAACCTGTATTATTGGTACCTAACCAAAACATTTATGATCGTTTGTAATATTTTTTTAATGTCACGTAGGTACGATGTACATATTTGATAGGAATTCTATTTTATTTAAATAAAACGTTTTATCGTTTGAACATATTTATTCCAAATTAATCGATTTGTTTTAACTTGATTTTAACTATGTGCTTTTTTTTGTGCATTATTATAGGTATTGACCTGATTATCTAGGGTAGGTACCTATTTCGGTATTTTAGTACGGGGCGTGTGAAATGTGCCAGTTTTCATAAATAATAACATTTTAAAGTTTATTAGATAACACTTTTTGATTTAAATATAAATTTAAATACAAAATGTCCTATTAATGTATCCAACACACTGTTTGGAGAAGAGTCACATAGAAGTTTTGTTCCTGGAAAAAGAAACCCCAAATAAATCAAGTGTTATAACTAGAGCTTAACTCTAATACTGGAATATTTAATATTCACTTCTATTGATAAATTATCACCGTGATTACGAGATCTAATAATAATATTAATGTATATGTATAAGAATTTTTGTCTCTTTGTAACATTTATTCTTTATGATATTTTCTAAAAAATATTTTTACATAATATTATTTATTGATTTTTAATAGGCTGAAATCCATGCCTATTATTTTCCGATAAATATTATATTTTTATTATTCATAGTACCTAAATATAATTTAATTATATTAAAACATAAGTTTATAATTATTAAATTACAGTATCTCGGGGAAATGTTAATATAAACAGAGCCAGTACAGCAGTAACATCCACTAATGCACCAATTACAACGAATAACACACAAACAAATCAAGATAAGTTACCCAAAGATTGTGAAGATGTAGAAAGTTTAAAAGGTAAGCAATAAGGAGTTAATTCATGTTTTGAAACTTTCTATGAAAACACTATATTTTATGTTATTTTATGCAATATAGGTAGATTTTCATGGAAATTAATTGATGGGTACCATGTACCCTATATCATTAGAGTAATTAATGGTGAACAGTTAAAATTTGTATCCGTACGTATGGCACAAAGAGAGCTACTCAGCAAATATTTACATTATTTACATACAGATATACTTACATGTACATCTGTAAAAAGTTACTTCATCAATAAATCTGAAGCAATACTATTAAATTCTATAAACCAAGAGCATACCGAATGTATATACGGGAATCAAAAGTTTTTGGAGGGAAAAGATTATATTGTGAGTTTAGAAGATGCTCATGAATTTTATACGTTCATAGAAGCATGTTATGAAAAAATAGTGTTCAATATTACTCCAGGCCGCATAGAGAAATGTGGTTTTATTCGCATTAACAACTCTGAATTGGCTGTGCCATATTGTATAATTGATAACCAAAAGTATGTCCCGCTCTTCTACTTTGAAGGCGAAACAACTGAAAACATAAAACATCGATCTATAAAATTGGAAAATTGGAACTTTGCTTATCTTAAGTTCTGTTTTAAAGTTATGGGTATTAGAAATGAGTTGTATGCCGGTGACTTTTGCACAACAATTAACCTTGAAGATATCATAAATAATTTTCCACCGGAAACTACTTTTGAGGAATTCTGGCCGGCTTATATGGCTAATAAATTCCTCTTAACTAATCAGAAGTCTACCCATGTAAATCCACTTGGCTCCTGGATCAGAGCACCCGCTGAAGTAGTACCTGCTGAGGATACTATTGCTCACCCTTTAACCGCACCAGCACCATTACCACCGAGTATACCAGTTATGATTAACACGTCATATCAAAACGGATGGCCAGCAGACCAAATGGTATGAATTATGTTGTATATTATATAATTATATATATTAAAATGCTTTTTAATTTTTGGTTCTTTAAATAAATTGTTGATTGTGTTTTCACAATGTATTCAAATGTATAATTTATTTTATGCTTATAATTATTTTTAGTATTAACTAATAAATATTAATAAATAATGTATCTATAAATAAGGTCTCCATTAAAGAAATAATTTTCTTGTATTTTTATTTAATATAAATAATTTTTTTAAACTAATGGACTAAGCTAATAATTATTGTCATTCCTCAATTGGCAATTCTGTATATAGCTTTTCTTTTCTTTAAAATTGTTTTAAGTCCAGCTGTAAATATGTTGGATTACTTTATAATTAAATATATTTTTATGCTTCATTAAGTTTAATTTAAAATTTAAGAAAAGTATGGACAACAAGTTTTGCATGTGTGATATAATAATTAAATGTTTGAATACAATGGTTCTTGTTAATATTATATTGTGGGCTATGTAATAAATATAAATAAATTAACAGTTTTAGATTCTGAGTGAAAGGATGAATGATATTGATTTTACAATGATGTGAGTTTTTTTTTTTGTGTCCGTGTACACGATAAGTAGTTGGAATAATGCTTCAATTTTCAACTTCAGTATCTTGTTTGGTTAGAAAGTGAATATCGTTGGTGCATTGGGCAGGTCAAAATTTATTCTTCCCTATAAAATTAAGGAAAAACGGGAATTTTTACGCAAAATCGATTTTTCACAAAATTGTATTTTGTTTTTGGTGTAACGTTAAAACAAATGACCGTAGATACATGAAACTTTCACTGGTTGTTCATACATGCATTTTCTATACACGATAACATTTTCAAAATATAATGATTTGTTTTGAACTGTTTAGTTACATTTCTATTTTCAATTTTTTTTTAGTTTTTTTTCTAAAAATATCTATAACATTTTATCTGTTGGTTAAAAAAGCTTGAAAATTGAATACAAGGCTAATAGTTTATTGTTTCAAAGGCAGATGAATAATATTAAAAATCCTTAGTCACATATTTTTTTTATAAGCATTTAAATTCAAAAATTGCAAGATTTCAAAAGTTTTATCTGTTGGGCCAAAAAATGTAAAAATTTAATACAAGCCTCCTGATTTTTTGTTACAACATCAGTTGAAAAATATTAAAAATACATGTCCACAAATTGTTTTTATAAGCATTTAAAGATCGATTTTTGACAAAATTTATCAACATTTAAATTGAATAATTATTTTGTAGCTAAAAATGTATTCAATGTTCGACTTTTATATTTAATTATTGAAAATGTATTAAAAGTTTCCATGTAAGTAGTTTATTCTGTTACCAAAAAATCTAAAAAATAAATGAGCACGGTTTATTTTTATAGTCATTTTAAGTTCAAATTTGGACGAAATTACATAAAAAAAAAATTGAATAACTATTTTAGTTATTTTTTTGTGATTGCATAATATTATTCGTGGGTACTTGAAACTTCTATAGGAGGTACACTATTATATATCTATGATAGTATCAGGGTTTGTTGTTCATGTATAACGAGTTATAAGTACCTAACGTATATTGTGGTATGATTAATTTGAAATTTATTATAGGTACCTAATATTATAGGTCAACTTTTTTTAATATCATAGATAAGTATATAATATGTCTTATACCTAGACTGACATACCGTCTCCGCTCAGAATCGTTTTTCTTATACAATGATATTATATCATTGAATTCATATTTAATACCATCTATTATACAGTGACCCACTTTTTATATTTAGGTATTATTATATTTTCAGGTTCCAACGATGTCTCAAGGCAGCAGTTTGGTAAACATTGCGGATCGAACTCAGCAGCCATATAGTGGCCAACCTGTGCATTTAAGGAATTTTAGGCCTGTGGTAACTGTTCAGCAATTAGAAGTCACTGCCGTATCGTCCCCACCATCCAGCCTTGTTCCTCCAGCTGTGCCATTGAATCCTCTTCGGCCTAATATACCGGAACGAACGTGGGCATGTAACACATCTAAAAATGCCGCATATAAGGTTAATGATATTTAATATTTTAAGATTAACTGAATTTATTGGGCCTAGAATAAAATAATATTATTTTTTATATCTTTATAAGATATAAAATATTTATATATCTATACCTTTTTTTTATTTAGCAAATATATATTTATTTACAAAAATGGCATGTGCATCTCATGCTATTTTGTATAACATAGATAAGTTGATAGTGTTCATTAATAAATATAAGATGGGTAGTATGGGTTAATCTTCAAATTAATAATATTTTAATTTTATTGACTATTTTAAATAAACGTTTTGTATTTAAATGTAGCTTTCCATATTAATAGATATTAGTTTCTCTAGGCTGATTATTTCAATTTGTGTAGGTTTTGTATTAACTAAATGTGTGTGCAGTATTTAAAATTGGTAATAAAGTTACTTTTTCTTTAACATTATATGGGTGTGATATTTTTTAACTAGGTACTTACAATTGTTTCAACATTTATTATTTGATAAATTGCGATATAGCAATAAGTAACACACCTGTATGTTATTAAATTAAATTGAGAGTAGTATTAACACAAAAAATTACTATTTCGATTTATTTGCTATATAGAAAACCGAAAATATGATTTTAAAATTATTATAATACTTGTAATACGTCTACCAGTTTGTAATTAAAAAATCAATAATAAATATATATATATTTTAAAAACAGATCCAAAAGGTAAAATTTCAAGGGAGAGTTTTACATTGCATAAACGCTAAACCATACATCTATTCGGATTTGATGGTGACATTACACGATTTCGTAAAGACGGTGTTGCCGATGTGTAGTGTCAAGAAATGCGCTTCAGTCTTAAACACATACTTGAAAACAGAACTATTCTATGGAAATTCGTAAGTGTCTATTCCTCCTTTTAATAATCATTATCCCTCCTACTACTTATCCAACAGTGTTCTGAAGAGGTTAATACATTTCACCCGTCGTTTGTTTGACAGTGAGCAGTTGGCCGTGTTGCGGGAAAATGGACTACTCAGGGCGATGTACCCGGATGAAACACAAATGGCCAGCCTAAAAGATGTCAGGCAAGCTTGGCCGCAATTAAAAGAATTGGTACTCAAGAATGATGAAGAATTACAACGATACCAAGCTGCTGCAGCTGCTGCGGGTGGTCCGGCTAAAAGACAACGCACTAGCTAGGAATTGTCCGGGTACATTGGAAGCTGACCCGACTGGAAAAAGCTGGTGGCAGAAAAGCAGACAATTGGGACGGTGTCTTGTTTCTATAAATAGTATGTGTACATAGTACATATATATGTACGAACAACAATTGTATGTATCTAGGTACACGATTCCGTGTAGTGTATATATTATAATTTACTATTACAATAATATTATAAATTTTTATGCTTTGATCATTTTGGATCTTTGTCATTTTCTATTATTTCCTACATCTTTGCATTTATTCGTAGTATTAATATGAATATTAGTTTTAAAGGATATACTGAAAAGTGAACAATTGTAAAATAGTTTATTGATGTATTGATGTGCTGTTTATATTTAACTTTTGTATTGGAAATTATGTTATTTATAAAATAATTAATAAATATTTTAAAATCTATTTATTTAAAAGGTCTATTGGTTTCGTAGAAACATTTATTTTATGTAAGCAATCTGAGAATTGATTATATTATTTTCAGTATCCAGTCTATTAATTACACACATTAGTTCGGGTCTTAACAATCACCATTTAAATAGTAAAACTACATTAAATAGGTTTATATTTGTTTGATTCTAAAAGTTTCTAAAATTGTAAGACAAATCACTTAGGCCAGTCAAATTAGAACAAAAAATGACAAAATTTGGAATTAATTAGTTTAAAATTCGAAATTTTTTTAATTGCTTAAGTATAAGGCAAGTATTGGGGGAAATGTACCAGCCCCTCCGAGGTCGGCGTTAGCCGGAATCTTGAAAAAGCAGGTCCAAAATCGGAGTTTTTTTTAGTTTTTCGATAATTATTCAAAAACTATGCGGTCTATTAAAAATAACGTAATCAGATCTAAATTATATAACGCTAAATTCTCTACGAAATTAAGTCCAAAAATAATGAGATCAGTCTAATATGAAAGTTCATAAGATACGTTAAAAAAGTACGTTTTTCGAAGTTTTAAAAAAAAATTGAATTTTTTTTAGGTTTTTTGTAATCCGTCAATTTCACCATGAAAATTCGTACCTTACAATTTGTAGAAATTGTAATTTTACATCTAATAGTGTTATATTCAATAATTTTGAGAAAGTATCAAGGTCGATAATAGATTTTGATATTTGACTCTCCAATCCCCTGTAACAATTAATGTACCTATAGGTGCAACTAATTCGTATGAAATTTATCGTGAAAAACAACAACAAATATTTACTCATTTATACCTTTAAGGCTTTAGTTAATATAGTTATAATACTTTGAGTATGACCCCCCCCCCCCCCCAATATCGGCCGAATCGACCCAGACCAATTGTAAGTTAAATATATTCATTTGTATGTATTGTCTTCGGGAAATTGGATATTGATAATAACATTAACGATCATATTCTAATAATAATAACTTGTTTTATATTAAGTGTAATGATTATAAAAACTATTTTAAAATTTAAAACAAAGAAATACTTGTGTATACTTGACAATACTTTTGTCATACTTGGAAAAATTGTTATAAAAGTTGATACAAAATTAAATTTATTCAGCTACGTAAATAAGTTGGTGCGGTTTTAATTTCTGTACTTGATGAAGCCGATAATGAAAAACCTCTTTGTTTAAATCGTTATGCAGTTCCCAAAATCCTCTTCCCCTTTTACAGTAGGTTACGTAATGACCAACTGTTTCAAAATTTGTCCCTCCAACAAAACATAATATAACAGCCGAAATTCCGTACCTGTAAATTAATTATAATTTTAATTTCTTAGGTTATAATTTGTTAATCTTGTTTATGAGTTCACTTTGATTGTTCGCAGTTATAAGAATACTTTTACGGAAAAATATTTATAGTTATAACTTATTAACAATGGTGGGCTAGTCAATGAAAATAATTAACTGAGGAAAGTTAAGTTAACTCAATTAAGTTAAAAGTTAACAAAGAAAAAAAATTTAACTAGATAAGTTTAAAGTTAAGATAGAAAACAAAATTAACTTATCTCAGTTAAAAAAAAGTTAATTATTTTGAAGGTACTATATTTTTAAACCATAAATCACCATAGTATTTTGATATACACAAACATTTACCAAAATATTTAACACTGTGTAAAAAATTAGATTATTATAATATATAATTCGAAAATAAGTTACCAAAATCGTAAAAAAGTCGACGAATCAGTATTGCCTAATTGATTACGCATGACTCAAAAATTAAATTAACTAAACTGCATGACAATGATAATTAGCTAACATATAACAATAAACATTTTAACTGAATAAGTTTAGTCAAGAACAAAATTAATAAACTAGTTAAAAAAGTTAAAGAAAAAATTAACATTTTAACTTAAATTTAAATCTTTCACAAGTTAATATTGTAGTTGTCTACAATGCCATATCTAGTCGACGCCACTACACAAAAAATAGGGAAACCCGAAAAAGTACACCACGCTAGTAACGACACGTCCACCATGCGATAAGAAATGACAATAGGCACAGCTTAAACACTATAATTATTTGATTAATTGCTCGGGCCACAAGATGCGTTCTTAAAGCAAGCATTTTGTTTTTATATGGACCGTAAAGTTTTAAATATAACGTGCTACACAACATCCATTTGGAAATTCACCAGCGGGGAGGTGCTTGACTTACAAATTCTATAAACTAACTTATAAATACTTACAAATGAATATCTTTAACTTTCAATCGGTTTGCATCGATTCGGCCAAAATGGGGGTTCCAAATTCACACACGTTAATATAATATATTCTTATTTGTGGCCACAGTGGCAACAAAAAAAAAACAATTCCGTGTTGCTCCAATAGCACAAAAAAACCAATTAGCACGAACCAATCAAACAATACTTTTTTTACAGTTAATATAAGTACGTAAATTTGTATGAATGAAAAAAACTTAACGGTAAAAAATTAATAACAACAATAAGATCGTTGGCCGCGTAATCACAAAAAAATTAAAACAGATGATATAAAAACTAAGACAATATGACGACAACGATTACAATAATAAGAATTTAATTTATATAATTGATTATAATTCACATAACTAACGAGTAACGGTTAGATGAGGACAAAGAAGAGGGAGAGAGATAAAGACTGGTCGCCGTTCTGCATATCGTATAATAGTCACAACAATGTGTCGCAGCAACAGTTAAAATTTTCATTTTAAAAATATAATACGTTGTTTATTGTTGGCTTCATTGGAATTTAATTACACTTGAGACATTGTTACACACATTGTATCGTCAAAAAGTAGATTTTGCAGGTCCATAAAGAATTGCTTTTAAATAGTGTTCTACTGCTTTTTTACTTTAGTTGCATTATCTGGATATCCATCGAAAACATTAGTGACACCATTTTTGTAATATCGTTTAACATAATTGACGTACTTATTTAAAATTGAAGAAAATGTTTCTCTTATCTGCCAAACAACTCTTTATTAAAGAAAACCAGCATCTATTACATATACAGCGTTTTAAAAATTATAGTTATTTACAAGATTAAACAATCATAAAAAATCAATAGAAGTCGACCATGCGACCAAAGGGTCGAAATAATGCAATAGATTTTGCCAGCTGCATTCCTGACGGTTTTACAACACTTCTATTGTATACTTGATCCCACACAGTCACACAGTCACACAGTCACACACACACACACACACACACACACACACACACAAACACACACACACACACACACACACATACAGACTTAACGTACTCAATGAGATCCACCTATAAATGGTGACGTTGTGAGATCCACTATAAATAATAATTATTTTTATGCGGGACAAACAGTAATTAATTTATAATACATTTATATAAATAGTTTTCAATAATATACACGGACATACTCAATTTATATTTTTTTCCAATGTAGACTTTGCGAGCTCCAGTGTATGTTGGACTAGACACATGATAACTGGACTTAAAGAGATCCTTTAAGTTGTGTATTTCATAAGTTTAGTGAAGGGTCAGCGTTATGAGGTCCATTACACTGTTGCCGTTGTTAGCTAACTTAAATTGTGGGCGACAATGCAAGACGTAGGTACGTAGGTAATAATAATGATAACAATAGACGTATGTAATTGGCAATTTTGTTAAAATTGAGTTGCACATTGATTTATACATTTAAAATATCGAGGAATCGATAGGCGTCATCAAATCGAGTGAAAACATATTACCTATTTCCTATTTCAAAACCGATATTAAAATAATGAGTTGATGAAATACGTACTAATGGCATAATATAGATTTTTTTCAATACCTACAGACTATTTACTCTTTGATGCAAAATGTACCTACTATTATTGCTATAGATTTTGTAATATAAAATACTTAATACTTAATAATTTTTAGACTATAGTTAAGTAAGAGTCTACACTATTTTCAGAAATAGTGATGAAGTTGAAAATTAAGAGCTTGAAACTTTGATGAAGATAATGATCATTGAGTTATTTTATAATAGTTATTAACTTATAATATCACTTGACACTTAATATATTTTCTATTAGCCTATAGTAGGCTAGTGGTTTCATTTTTTTTATTTAAGTGTTTGATTGTTTGAACATAATTTATTGTTTTTAATGTCAACTTTATTTACTATATTTTACCATTTTACATTAGTTTGAAGGGGTTCCTACTCTTTTATATTTTATTTACCTTATATTTTATTAGGTTGGTATTTTTTAAAATTTATAATAAAGATGTTATATTAAAATATATTATAATATGTAATCCTTTAACCCAGCGGTCATCAAAAGTAAAAACTGATAATAAAGTACATGGGTAGGACCAAGGGCTTTGCCAGTTTATTTGATTTGCCACCAGACAGTACCTGTTTTTAAAGTTTTCAATATAACGTTATTATGAGACTTCACATAAATCAATTGCCGAAAAATGTCCAGTAATTTGTGATATTCGTAAATCAAAAATTGTGAACCTGCATTTAAAATAGTAAGTGCACGAATCATACACCAAATTGCATGCAGTTAGT